ACAACACTAAAGTATATAGAATCCGAAATTGTGATAAAATATAGAGAGAGGATGGAGGAAGGTGAAAAAGGTTAAGGTGAGACACACAGCACTAAAATCCGTAACTACCGCAGTAAGACATCAAAAGATAGGGCCTAATATGCTATATTTAAGATGCATCACATATATAACTGACTTTTTAAATCTAGCAGCATTATTTAATAGAAATACATTTTAAAACAATATTTCAATAGAAAGAAGTAAAAAGAATTAAAGACAACTGAAAAATACATGACAAAACAAATGAACATGTAAATGACACCCTAAGTAGAAAATCTGGAAGTACTTCTCTTATACACAACCATGATCCCAACATATAACTTTAATTACCAGCCACACTTCTTTTTCTGCCTATGAAATTGACAATAATATTTTTAAGCAAAAATGCAATGATATAGTCAGATCCCCAGATTGATGATGGGAATGTAATTAGCAAAATTTTCTTAATTCGACACTATCTCTTGGAGCGTAACCTTTGGCTCAACCTTAAAATAATACATACTTTTCTATCTCCAAATTCCCTTACAGGAATTTTTTCTAAGAAAATTAATTTGCATAAAAATTTACATGTCTCAAGGGTATTATCTGAAATACTAGTTAAAATATTAAATGGTTGGGAATAAAATTTCCTCCCAAAAGGAAAACAGTTAAATAAATTAGAGTATTAGCACAACAGAGTATTATGCAGCCATTAAAAACAACGTTTTCAAGAGGAAGGGAGGTAAGTAGCAAATCAACAAGACAGGAGAAAAGACTCTAAGAGGAAAGAACATAAAACAAAAGTATGAAGATGAGCAAGTACAAATCATGTATGGGAAATGAGAAATAATTTATTTCGGCCATAACATTATTTGAGAAGAAACAGTGGACAATAGAAAAGCCCTAGGATATCGCTGCACTGTATGTATCACTGAATCTGCTCACCTGGACAGTACTGTGAAGTCAGTAAGAACATAAGCTTTGAAGTCACAAGACCTAAGGTCCAATACCCACCACTTTTTCATTACCTGAACAACTTTGAATTTGAACCTCAGCTCCCTATCTATAAACTTAAATAATACTATCTTTCTTTAGTACTATTATAAAAATGAAGAAAATGATGCACACTGCTGTCCGAATAAGTGCTAATAAACAGTTGTTTTTTGTTATATTAAACCAGTAGCAAAATATCAATTTTAAAAGAAGTGTGGAAGTAGAAAGGTACTGTTGTAAAAGATTTGTATGGCATTTACTTCCAAGTAACTGTTTTAATTAACTACATGAGTAAGCATGTACTATGTAAATTTATTCACCAGTGAGGTAGTACATTTCAGCTGTAGCCGTAATTGAGAACATAATCGTATACTGCCTCTTACTGTTTTATGGGAGAATTGATTGTTCTGTGATAATGTAAGCTAAAATTATTCAAAGAATAGAATTTATGTTTCTGTTTCATTTACATCTTTAGCAGTCTTCACAGTTTATAATTTTTTTTTCTGTTAGTTTTAGCTGTGAGAGTAGCAGTATAGGTGCTGACGGTCCTGCTTTATTGGTCAAGAAACTTGCCCAGATAGTGAAGAACTAGACCTCATTTTTTAGTTTAGATTCAGTGCCTTCAATTTAAACCTGTTTTCTCTTTTTGCCATTTAATGTTACCTATAACTAAACACTTTCACTTACTTCATTTCATGGTTCCAATGAGCAAGTGTCCATAACTACTATGTACATGCTATCTAAATCAAGCTATTTGAAAGAAAAATGATGACGGAGAAATAACTGTGTATATGAAAAGATCTTTTATTTTAGACGCTATTTTTAAAATGGCATCATACATTTATATGAAACATTTAATGAGTATTATGTAAGTAACACAATTCAGTATTATATATATGAAATTCATGACATTTAAAAATAATGAATAGCAAAATAGACAATGCTTTTATATTATTATATGTTAATAAATGTAAAAGCTTTTATCAGTATGCATTTTAAAGAAGGATCAGCTAAGCATAGAAGTTACTTCCAGTTCTGACACTTCATGATGGGCGGCTTAATCACCACTACTGCTGGTATCATTTTAAAGTGCAGATGCCCTTTATTCAACACCTATTATTTGCCAACATTCAGTGCTAACTTGCTACACATAGATAAGCTGAAATCCATTACAACTTTGTCTTTATCAGTAAAACCTTAAAAATACAAAACTATGTCCAAAGTTATCACTAAGGAAAAACATTCTATTTAGTTCTATAATGATCTTTTTGACTATCTTCATGAGACAAAGTAACTAAACAAACACTTTCATTTCCAAAGAGACTAAAATAAACACAGAATTTGTTCTCTTTTTCTGAGTAGGGTTACTAAGTATGGGGCAACAGTCTAAGGAAAGTTATAGTAGATCCTATAATGAAGGTTATCTTTGATATTTTCTTCTTGAGGTAGGACATGAATTGGATGTAAAGTTGCTTCAGTGCCTTTAATTTCCCAACTTTTATTGCTCCAAAAAGAAAGGAAACATTATTGAAAGTCTACTATGTTCAAGATACTTCAGTGGAATTAAATTGAACATATTTAAATGTATTTACTACTAATAATTTTCAATGTGAGAGTCGCCACTAGGGGGGGTTAATTTTTCTTAATTCAAGATTGAAAGAGCTTCAGGTTACAAGTGTCATCTACTTTACTCCAAAATTTTGCAGAACATATATATTTCATAAAATTAATATTTAAATGGGTGTCTTTTTAAACAATCCTATATTATGCTACAGCATATTTTATCTGTAAATAAAATAAAGTGGCTCTCATTAAGAGGTGGAGGTTTAACAGGTCTGGATAGCATTTTCAGCTAAAAACATCTATTTTCCCCAATGTTGGCGTATTTTGGGCCTAATTAGGCCACAAACTAGTAGTTTAATTTTAAAACTAATACTAAATTTAATATCAGGTTTAATGACTTCATTCCTAAAATAAGCTTTGATTAACTGCATTATAAAATTAACCATTTTTCATTCAGGTAAAAATAATTTGTATAAACACTTTCACTTGACAATGAAAACGCCAGCACTAGGCTTTTCTTACATAACAAGCTGGTGATATTTAAGGCATCTGTATGATTAGAAGCAATGTACAGTGCTCAGCAGAGATTAAACATCTTCACTAACAAAATAAAATGTGGGTGAATGAGGAAAATACTTTTGTTATAGGAAATTACTAAATACAAGTACATTAAAGACTAAGAAAGTGTATTAAAATATTAGGATAATCTAATAAAAGGTACATTTTATGCAAAAGAAAAATGTAATACATTAAAACATTAACATATAAATTAGAATCCATAAATGTTAAACTGTACAAAATTATGGCATTTGTTTTTGTTTTAAAAGCCGTACAAGTCCTTTTATAATACCCTAACTGGAACCTGGTATCTTAAAAACACATCAGGGAGATCTTCCCGTTTTCTGACAATACACAGAAAACCCATTAACATACCTATTATACATGATGCTAAGTGTATTAATAAATACATAGAACAGACATTTGGGATGCCTCCCAACTTGAACCATCAAGGACAATGTCAAATTGTCCTTCAAACAAACATACTTTAATCTAAGAAACCATTCTACAAAATTAAAAGTATTATAAACCAATGTCTCAAACTGCCAAGGTAGAAAACTGCTAGTTTGACAATATTCCCTTAAGATACACTATACCATCAAACTTCCAAATTTTAATCAGTCTATTTATAATTATCCTCTCCATGCCAATTTATATGTGTAGCTCTGAAGAACTATGATAACTGAAATTCTGAAAGGAAGTTAAATTCTAGAATGAAACTTTAAACCAATAATTGGTTTACACGTAAATCTTAAACTGTTATTTCTCTGGTTCCCATTAGTGATAGTTAAAATCTAAGGAAAATGCACACTTCTAATTTGGTCGGAGAAGACGTTTAAGAGTTCCTAAAATTGTTTATGGAAACTTGAAAAATATGTAAAGTAACTCAGATAAAATTAGAAATAAAAAAAACTGGAATGAACACACGAATACAATCACCTCACAAAAGGAAATCTTTCAAGCACGGCTAGTTTTTCTCTGAAAAAAAAATTAAAGTATTTGCCATCTCACACAAATATCCCACCAAAATCAACCGACGACATAAACAAGTTTGTACTCACTCTATTAGAAGTAACAAAACTTCGAAGGGAAAAAGAATTAGAGCTAGATGCTAAGAATGAAAACCTCTCTCAAACATAGTTCTTAATCTTTCATTTTACAGATTCTAAAGGCACCCCAAAAGTGATAAGCAAGCTTCCCAAAAAGGTGTCTGAAGAATACAAATCCTCCACCGTATCCTGTCCATTACATCCACTCCCACCTGCTACCACTTCTATCCACTTTACCGATACGGTCACGATGAGCGCTACAAAATCGCTGCCAAGTAAATAAATAAGAGCGCAACAGAAAGCCAGTTGGTGGGGACCAAAAAGTACCTTTAGAGGCACTCTGCCCCTTAGCAAAAATTCGGCACGTGTTTTGCTCTTTAAAACATCTCGTCCTACCAAACTCTACTAAGAAGGAGAACTAAGACCGTCCTCTAACTTAACCCATGCGGATATTAAAAGTGGAAGGAGATTTCGACAGGTTTATACTAAGTAATCCACCAGCACAAGGCAGATGAGAGCTGTCAACAAATTAGGACCAAAGAACAGAGAAAAAGTTGCAAATGTGAGAAGGTGCATGTGCACTGGCGCGGGGGCCGAGGATGAGTGGGAGGACAATTTTTTAAATGCAATCATTGAAAACTGCAGAATCCAAGTCCTCAGTCTCCCGACCGGCCTCCAAACCGCGATTCCACTGGCAGTGCCGGGAATGGACCTAATCCCCAGGATCGCAGGGATTTGGGGGCGGGGTGGGGCTGCCTCCCACACCCGCGTGCCAGAGCGCCCAGCCCCCCGCGATGAGGACGCGCTCCGGACACTCACGTTTTCTGCACCGGCTTCCGCCGCTTGCGACTGGCGTAGGTGATGTTGGCGCTGCTGTTCATGGTGTCCAGCCGGCGGCGGCGGCTCCTCCTCGGGCACGGGCGGCCGGGTCCCCGGGACTCGGTGTCGGCTGGGAGGACGGCGGAGGCCGGCGCCGGGTTCCGCGAAGTCGTGCCCGCTCCACCTGCGTCCTCTCCGGACAGCGGCGTGGGCGCCTCGCTTCAGCGACCCGGCTCCCGCACTCCGCGCCAGTCCAGGTGAGCTGCCCGGGCCTGGCGCCGTGAGGGGTGGCGAGGGGCGGAGACCCGCGAGCGAGGCGGCGCAGGTGCCGTCTACACCGGCGGAGGCGGCGCGGCAATGCCCGCAGGTGAGGCGGCCCGGGAGGAGGAGGAGCCTGGGCTATTTAGAATCCTGGCCTGGGTCGCGCACGGTGGCGCCGCACCCCGTGACCGTCACCGCGGCCCCTTGGGTCAAGGAGGCGCCGCCGCACTGCTCCCGGGACTTCCCAAATCCTGGGTGCTTCCCGCCCGCAGACCTCCGGCGTCGGGCACCAGTCCCCGCTGCCTGCAGCTTCCGTTCAGCTACACGGCTGCCCCTGGTCTGAGCTGGCGGTCCAGGGCACGCTCGGAACAGAGCGTCAAGAGGACTAGCCCGCCGCTGCCTCCTGCCGCCGCGCGCACCGGCTGAAGAGCAGAAGCGCCCCCGACCCCTCACCGGCCCCGCCCCGCCCAGATCCTGCGTAGCCCCGCCCCGTCCTCTTGCCCCCGCCCACTGGATTCCATTCCATCTTCCTTGAGGGCCCCACCCTCATCCCAGCACGTGATGACGTAGGACGTAAAAGCGTCCCCCGGTAGCCATCTTCATACATAGGCAAACTCTTTGTAGCTAGACTGTATATCAAGATATGGCAAATACTGAGCTTAACTTCACCTGTCTGAGGGACGGTGGGTCAGCTAACTTGTGGCTAGGAATTACAAGAAACTGGTAGACAACCAATGGGACTATATATTTTCTTAGTTGGGAAACGCCGGATTTGGGTTGAGACTTGAAGGCTAGGTGTTTCATTGACCTTTTTATGGGGGGTGTATGTGGTGAAGTCTTTACAATAGACAGGAAAATAGAAAATAAGGAGACTATTATGTGTTGTGTCATGGAGGACAATATGGAAAAATATTGGGAATAGTTAATAGTATTGAATACTGTTGAGAAATTCAAATTAGATGAGAACTGAAAATGTCATTTTTGTCTTCTCAATAGGTACTCACTGATGACTTCCGTGAATGCTGTGTTGGTGGGGTAATGGGCCTGCAAATAACACTGAAGTGGGTACAGGATTGAGGCAGAGATGAAGAAGTGGCATCCTCAAGCAGACATTTCTTTTGCCATGTTTAGCTGTGGATGAGAGAGACATCAGATGGTAGGTTATGGGAATGAGGAATTAAATGAGGGTTTTATAATTTTATTTTGGTTTAGTTTTTTTTTGTTTTTTTTTTTTCTTTTAGACAGAGTCTCACTCTTTCACCAGGCTGGAGTGCAGTAGCGTGATCTAGGCTCAATGCAACTTCAGTCTCGCAGGCTTGAGCAGTTCTCCTGCCTCAGCCTCCCAAGTAGCTGGGACTACAGGTGCACACAACCAAGCCCAGCTAATTTTTGTATTATTAGTAGAGACAGGGTTTCACCATGTTGATCATGATGGTCTCGATCTCTTGACCTCGTGTATCTTGTGATCCACCTGCCTCCGCCTCCCAAAGTGCTGGGATTACAGGCATCAGACACCTTGCCCGGCCAGTTTAGTTTTTCAAATGGGCAATACTGAGCAGCTGAGAGCAGGTGGAGATAAACTGTGTAGGGAACCCAAGGGAACAGTAAAGGAATGATAGATATTAACATAGTGAAGGCAGGAGAGAATGAGTTCCAAAGCATAAATGGGAGATTAGGACTAATAGATTAGATACCAACAGAAACAGCACTTCTAGTGCTTTGCTGTTCAGAGTATTCCACAGCTTCTCATGGAAGTTACAAGAAATGCAGACTCTTTGGGTGTCCTTACTAATTCAGAACCTGAAGTTCACAAGAACTTCCAGGTGATTCAAATGTCCGTAAAGTTTGAGGAGCAGCTGTCTACTAGCTGGAGAAAAGAAGGATGGGGTGAGATGAAGTAGGCTACTGAATTTTGGATCAGAAAGATGAAGATGTGACAAAGGATATTCTAGCATGAGCTACAAAAGAACAGGTGTGATTTGTGGTCGATGCTCTTTATTTTAATTTTAGAAGAGCATAAAGTAAAAGTGATTTGGGAAGTGACAACAAGGAAGTACGTGGACATCCACCTTATATCCTGGATGTGTGATAAGAGAAAATAATTAGGCAGTATTTGGGAGAGCTTATAGGGAAGTAATAGCTTCAGCAAGCCAGCTTTCAGTTTAAGAAAAAGATGAAGCAAATTCCCAAAGAAGACAGTGTACACAGGGAAAGTTTGGTGTTTATGAATTAGCAATTGCAGAGACAGAATCAACCATCTGTATTTTCCCTTCTCTTTCATTTCTTCATTTTCTGTGCTTACTCGTAGCCATTCTAAAACATATAAATGGAAAAGAATAATTTACACCTAGCTAGGAACTTTAAGGGTGAAAAATTCATATCAAAACATAATTTATTGATTCTGTACCTTATAATTCCTCTTCAGAAAAGAGATGTAATCCAGTGACCCAATCTTAATTTAGTGATTTTTAAAAGTCCTACCCTTTTTAAGGTTGTTACCTATTTGGTACAGTCATTTTGTATCTTATTTTGTCTTTCAAACCCTTATTTTTTATGTTTAACTTTAGGATTATTTTCATTATCCAGAAGTTATATCATACTGTATTATGTTCCATAGTCTTAGTTAATAGGTCTTTGCATAATTAAGATTAAAATGGAATATCAATACAATTCCCAGAATTCATTTTAATAGTTACATGAACTTCCCTTAACAGTTTTGCAAGTATATGAATAAAACCAGTGTAGTGTAATGCCATTTAACAAAAATGAGCTGCCGTTATCTAGAAACTTCCTATATTGCCACTGTGGAACATGGTTCTCAAAGTATGGTTTGTGGCCATCTGCTAAGAGTTAAATTTTTTTTTTGTGAGCGGTTTTCTTTTTTGTAGTTACATGATTTTTTTGTCATAGCAATTAACTTGACTATAAGTCGGTGAACATTTGATTACCTTATCCAGAGAACATCCTCGTAATCAACTGGGTTGAGCTTACTTTCTGAGGTTTCAGATGCAGCTGTATGTGTATGGGTTTCTTTCTCCTGTGAAATAGTATGAGAAAAATGTTTTAGGAATGCCATTGTAAATATCAGCTGTTCTTGAATAAAGGAAAATAATCAAAATGAATGCTAAACCTATTCTGTCACAGTTCATTTCAGTAAGCAAGATTTTACCCCCTATAATATACCAGACACTGTGGGTTACAGTAGTTATATCTGACATGTTCTTTCTTCTTGGAGCTTACATTCTAATGAGGGAGACAAGAATCAATGATAGTTACACAAATGAATTCATTTTAATAGTTACATGAACTTCCCTTAACAGTTTTGCAAGTATATTAATAAAACCAGTGTTGTGTATTATTTACAACTGGGACAAGTACTGTGAAATGAATACTCTGAGAATGTATAATAGGTGGATTTGACTTGGTAAGGGAAGGTTATCCTGAGGGAGCTTGCGCTGAGTTTTGAGGCTTGGGTAGGCATTTTATAGGTGACCAGGGGAGGAAGGGGTATTTCATGCACACTGAACATGTGTCACTTTTTATCTCCTCTTCAATTCTGCAGCTTCTTACTTCAGGCCCTCAGAATTATCTATTTCACTCATACCCTGCTTTTACAGTTTACAGTACATATTGTAGCTGTATGAAATATTTTACAGAGGGTACTCCATGCTTCCTAAACTATATACTGAGACATCCTAGGAATGCCACAACAAACTCACAGGGGCACTACCATGGGATATTTTAAATGTTCAAGGCCAACACAGTGACATCAGTCGGACACCATACAAATCACTATCTTGTGGTAGTTCATAACTTCTACATTAAGTTGTAATTTATTCCTTTTGACAACATCATATCTTTGTGAGGCTGTGTTTTTGTAAATTTCTGTAATAAAACAAGGATTATGGGAAAATTACTGTAGAACAGGAAATGAGGGTAGTGGTTTCCAAGTTTATTCCAAGGTTTGAGAAGTTGTAAAGTGCCCAACAGATAGATGTGCACATCCCATTAAGAATGAAAAATGTTAATGTATATTATTTTTTAAATAGCTACTAAGTTGTTAGGACAGACACACATAAGTTTGGAGTTAACTGTTTAATAAATGAAACTGCTAGGTGTTTCTTGTAACTTGCAATACCATGAAAACATTACTGAGACACTAGGAATGCTGTGAACTGAGAAAGTTTCGGACCTTTGGCAGAACTAACTCCTTCATTTAACAGGTGAGAAACTTCAGGCCCAGGGAGATCAAGTGCTCTGCTAATCATAGCCTAGAATCTGGATCTTGTGACTTCTACTTCAGTCTAAAATGTGTAACTTACCTCACTTTGAACTGTTTTAATTCATTTATTAAAAATCATCAGTTTACACATTGCTTGCTTTTACTCCTGACACTGAAGAACAGACATAGATATCTCAGGGCTGTTTCTAAATACTTAATGTCTTCTTTACTTGCTTGGATACAACAGTGTCAAGCCACAGAGAAGTAATGAATAGGTGTTGAAAAATTTCAGAAATGTGTTTTAGGATAATGCTAATCTTAATTCTGACAAAACTACAATATAGGAATAATTTGTTATTAGTCAAAATTATTCACTTATGGATAATGCTTTGTTGTAAGAAACATTTAGATTTTTAAGACATGAAAGTACATTAGCTATTAAATGTTAACATGCAGTAAGTTTGGATTTTGATTTTTTTCTTTCTGGACCTTTATTTCTCCTAATTTAAAATTTGATTATGTGGAAGGTTATGAAAAAGCTTTATGTTTCACATGCTAAGATTTCTATCTAATTTATTAAACATTTTTATTAAAATATATTTAATAATAAAATATATATTATTAAAATATATGTTTAAATATCTTTTTACTAAAATCCATTTAACTTTGGAGGTAAATATATTTGGAATCTACATAACAATACATATTTTCTGCATTTCAAATCATGATATAGAAGAAACTGAAATTAAGATAAAATACATTTAACAAATAAAATATTAATTTGATAAGAACAGCTTAAGGAAATGTAAATTATTAGAAAACTCTGGCCAAAAATCTATAATTTATATTTGCTAAATTTTAAAAGGCTGTCATTCATATTAAGAAACAAAATGTATTCTTTACTGAAAATATTTAACAAATTTAGTCGATGGGTAGACAGTGGTTCTCAACATTTGTTGCATATTGTAATCACTTGGAAGCTGTAAAAATTACTGATTCCTTGGCTCCACTACAAAGATTTTTATTTAATTTATCTAGGCTGTGTCCTGGAATTGGGATTTTTACAGGTGATAGAGGTATTGTGGTTAGGTAAGAGAAGATCCTAATATTCTCAGGAAATGCATGCTGCAACATTTATACACACACATACACACACACACACACACACGCACGCACA